CACACACACACACACACACACACACACACACACACACACACACACACCACACCACACCCTTCATGATGTTCTTGAAACTTTTCTTTTTAAGAGGTGGTCATATTTTAGAGCCAGCCACGTGAGTTCATAAATAAGATGCAAACTGGAAAAACTTTAAGGAGATAATTCTGATACTGTGTTGTGTTATTATATTATAATAAAACATCTTCTAATGTACATTTGTGTATAAAACTTGATAAATAAATCTGTTGACATGGTCCAGTGGCTTGTGACAAGCTCATCTGAATTAGAAAAACTACTGCAGTAGTTTTTCTTGATGCTACGTAGACTCAGTAAATGAGAGGAAATAATTGAAATCCCCTCTTTCATCTGAGTGTGGTAGCACAGGTATGTGGCCTAGTGATGGGGAGACTGAGGCAGAAGGGTTGCCTTGGTGGCATATTGAGTTCAAGAGCCACCTGGGCTGCAGAAGGCCCTGTCTTGAAAATCTTATAGAAAAGCATTCTCCTTCACATCTCTATTTATCTCTGTTTCATTTCCCCCATCTCTATTCCTTTGCACCTTCTTCCTGCTTTCCCCTTCTCTCTCAGTTTTTCTTTCTCTTCCCCTGTCTGTTCTCTCCTTTCTCCTCCCACGTTCTTTCCCCCTTCCTCTCCCTTTGTCCTGTGCAAGGCCAGTTGGTTAGCTATTTCAGTGTAATAAACCTCTTCATCTAGTTGCCTGTTGTGTGGTCCTGACTGGTAACAGCCGAGTGGTTCCCTGGCTGATCTGGGCCAGGTACGTTTGCATTTAGCTGGGGATGGAAAGTCAAAGTGGCCTCATTCAGAGGTCTAGACAGTTAGGTAAAGCATTGGCACACCTGGAAGCTGGCTGAATGTCTATTTCTATCTGGGCTCTCAAAAGAGGAGCTAGCTGTGTTTCTTAATGTGTCACCCTGATAAAGTCTCAAGGTGACAGTCTTAACCCAGCAGAACTTATCTATGATAGCATCGTCTCTGCTCACCTCTACCCAGAGGGTCCCAAAGTGGAAAGTGCTCTTCAGGGAAGAAGCCAACCCTCTCTGGAAACCTGAACTCCTTAATACCTTGCTCGTCTACAGCTTTCTCTTTTAATATATGTGGTGGCTTAGTTCATCTGGAGTTTTTAGGATGAAACTATTGTTCGGTATGATCTTTTGTTCCTGAATAAAATCATACTTCTTTGAGAATGGTTTTGAGTTTCTAACGATGCTGTCCATATAATCAACTGCAGGGTGGTAGCCAGAGAGTCTTTCAAGATTTTAATAGTGCCCCTTCCTACCTTTCTGAGGTGAGCTGTGAAGATTCCTGGTTTCCCTAATAAACTTTAAGAAGATTTTGAGGTTTAAATCACAAATATGTGAACATAGTTCTGTCAGTGTTGAGGCCTGTATCACACAAGATGTTTGCCTATGCCCCTTAGTGCAGTTGTTCAGGTTCGTTCAAATTCCAATGGTAGTGCATGGTCTTATATATTTTCCTTGGACTGAAAAATAAATTTAGATGAGCATATGGGAAAGCATAGAGAGTTCCTTTACTAGTAATAGGCATAGAATTAAAATATTTCATATGGCTGTAAAATATTTTTGGAATGATTAATATCTCTAAGCAGCTTAAATAAGTGGTTCTCATTAACCAATTTCTAACATTAAATTCTAACCGATTTAGTGTGTCTGGTTTTATGTTGAGGTCTTTGATCTACTTAGACTTTAATTTTGTGCAGAGTGATAAATATGGATCTATTTTCATTTTTCTACATGTGGACATCTAGTTGAACCAGCACCATTTGTTAAAGATGCTGTCTTTTTTTCCATTGAATGGTGTTGGCTTCTTCCTCAGAAATCAAGTATTCATAGGTGTGTGGGTTTATTTCTGGGTCTGTTATTTAGTTCCATTGATCCTCCTTTCTGTTTCTATGCCAATACCATGCAGTTTTTATTACCATTGCTCTGTAGTACAGCTTGAGATCGGGGATGGAGATACCTCCAGATGATCTGTTGTACAGGGTCATTTTGGAGATTCTGGGTTTTTTGTTTTTCCGTATGAAGCTGAGAATCTTTTTTTCAAGGTGTGTAAAGAACTGAGTTGGTATTTTGATGGGATTTGCATTGAATCTGTAGATTGCTTTTGGCAGAATGACCATTTTCACTATGTTAATCTTAACAATCCATGAGCACGGGAGATCTTTCCATCTTCTGCGATCTTCTTGAATTTCTTTCTTCAGGGACTTGAAGTTTTTTTCAAACAGGTCTTTCACCTGCTTGGTTAGAGTCACTCCAAGGTACTTTATGTTATTAGTGGCTATTGTGCAGCGTGTTGTTCTCCTGATTTCTTTCTCGGCCCTTTTGTCTTTGGTATTCAGGAGGGCTTCTGATTTTATTTTATTTTTTTTAGTTAATTTTGTATCCAGCCACTTTGCTGAAGGTGTTTATCAGCTGAAGGAGTTCTTTGGTTGAGTTTTTGGGGTCGCCCATGAATAATATCATATCATCTGCGAATAGTGAAACTTTGATCTCTTCCTCTCCGATTTATATCCCCTTGATCTTGTCTTATTGCTCTAGCTAGGACTTCCAGTTCTATGTTGAAGAGATATAGAAAGAGTGGGCAGCCTTGCCTTGTCCCTGATTTCAGTGGGATTGATTTAAGTTTCTCTCCATTGAGTTTGATGTTGGCTATAGGCTTGCTGTATATTGCCTTTACTATGTTTAGGTATGTGCCTTGTATCCCTGATCTCTCTAACACTTTAAACATGAATGGATGTTGGACTTTGTCAAATGCTTTTTCATCATCTAAGGAGATGATTGTGTGGTTTTTCTCCTTCAGTTTGTTTATATGGTGGATTACATTGATGGATTTCCATATATTGAATCACCCTTGCATGCCTGCAATGAAGCCTACTTGATCATGGTGGATGATATCTTTATGTGTTCTTAGATTTGGTTTGCAAGTATTTTGTTGAGTATTTTTTGCATCGATGTTCATAAGAAAGATAGGTCTGAAGTGCTCTTCTTTTGGTTGGGTCTTTGTGTGATTTAGGTGTCAAGGTGACTGTGGCTTCATAGAATGAGTTTGATAATGTTTCTTCTGTTTCTAATTTGTGGAATAGTTTGAAGAGAATTGGAGTTAGCACTTCTTTGTAGGTCTGGTAGAATTCTGCACTGAAACCATCTGGCTCAGGGCTTTTTTTTGGGTGGGGGGAGGGAGACTGTTGATGACTACTTAAATTTCCTTGGGGGATATAGGACTATTCAATCTTTCTACCTGATATTGACTTAATTTTGGTAGATGGAATCTGTCAAGAAAATTATCCATTTCATTTAGATTTTCAAATTTTGTGGCATATAGGCTTTTGTAGTATGACCTAATAATTGTTTGGATTTCCTCAGTGTCTGTAGTTATGTCCCCCTTTTCATTTCTGATTTTGCTGATTTGGATAGTTTTTCTCTGCCTTTTAGTTAGTTTGGCTAAGGGTTTGTCTATCTTGTTGATTTTCTCAAAGAACCAGCTCTTGGTTTCATTGATTCTTTGAATTGTTTTATTTGATTCTAATTGACTGATTTCAGCCCTGAGTTTAATTATTTTCAGCTGTCAGCTCCTCTTGGGTGTATCTGCTTCTTTTTTTCTAGGGCTTTCAGTTGGGCCGTTAAGTTGCTTGTATGAGATGTTACAAATTTCTTCTTGAAGGCAGTTAGTGCTATGAGTTTTCCTCTGAGCACTGCTTTCATTGTGCTCCATAAATTTGGGTAAGTTGTACCTTCATTTTCATTGAATTCTAGGATGACTTTAATTTCTTTCTTTCTTCCTTAACCCAGCTGTCACTGAGTACCAAGTTGTTCAGTTTCCATATGCGTGTCGGCTTTTTGTTGTTTCTGTTGTTGTTGATGTCCAGCTTTAGTTCTTGGTGGTCAGATAGAATACAGGGGATTATTTCAATCTTCTTGTATCTGTTGAGGCTTGCTTTGTGACCAACTATATGGTCTATTTTGGAGAAGGTTCCATGAGGTGCAGAAAAGAAGGTATATACTCTTTTGAGTTTGGGTGAGAAGTTCTGTAGATGTCTATTAGGTCCATTTGATTTAGGGCCTCTGTAAGTGCCTTTATTTCCCTATTTGGCTTCTGTCTAGATGATCTGTTCCTTGGTGAGAGTGGGGTGTTGAAGTCTCCCACTATTAAGGTGTTGGGATTGATGGGTGATTTAAGCTTTAATAATGTTTCCTTTACAAATATAGGCACTCTTGTATTTGGGGCATAGATGTTCAGAATTGTGATGTCCTCTTGGTGCATTTTTTCTTTGATGAGAATGTAATGCCCTCCTCATCTTTTTTGATTAATTTTGGTTGAAAGTCTATTTTATTAGATATTAAGATAGCTACCCCAGCTTGTTTTCTGGGTCCATTTGCTTGAAAAACGTTTTTCCAGCCCTTTATTCTGAGGTAGTGTTTATCTTTGTTGCAGAGGTGTATTTCTTGGATGCAGCAAAATGTTGGATCTTGTTTCTGTACCCGTTCTATTAGTCTGTGTCTTTTTATTGGAGAGTTGAGTCCATTGATGTTGATAGATAATAGTGACCAATGAACGTTAGTTCCTTTTATTGTGGAGTTGGTAGCTTTACTGTGATTCATTGCTTGTTTTCTTTTAATTTTTGTTGGGAAATTATCTGTATCCTATGTTTTCTTTGGTATAGCTGTTTTCGTTGGATTGGAGTTTTCCTTCTAGTATCTTCTGTAGGGCTGGGTTGCTGTGTAGATATTGCTTAAATATAGTTTTATCATGGAATATTTTTGTTTTCTCCATCTATGCTGATTGAAAGTTTTGCAGAGTATAGTAGTCTGGGTTGGCATCTATGGTCCCTCAAAATTTGCATGACCTCTGCTCAGGCCCTTCTGGCCTTCATAGGTTCAGAAGAGAAGTTGGTGTGATTCTGATAGGTCTACCCTTATATGTTACTTGGCCTTTTTCCCTTGCTGCTTTTAATATCTTTTCTTTGTTCTGTAGATTTAATGTTTTGACTATGATCTGACATGAGCAGTTTCTTTTCTGGTCTTGTCTATTTGATGTTCTGTAGGCCTCTTGTATGTTTATGGACATCTCTTTTTTTAAGTTGGGACAATTTTCTTCTATGATTTTCTTGAAAATATTTTCTGGACCTTGGAGCCTAGAATCTTCTTTTCATCAATTCCTATTATTCTTAGGATTTGCCTTTTCATGGCATCCTTGATTTCTTGGATGTTTTGTGTTTGTGACTTTTCTGATTTTACTTTTTCTTTGAGAGAAGTATCAATTTCTGCGAGTGTATCTTCAGCACCTGAGATTCTCTCTTCCATCTCTTGTATTCTGTTGGCGATGCTTACCTTTGTGGTTCCTGATCTTTTCCCTAACTACTCCAGCTCCAGGGTTTTCTCAGTTTGTGTTTTCTTTATTGATCCTAATTCTGATGTTATGTCTTTCACCATTTCCTTCTTCTGTTTGAATGTGGCTTCCTGTCTCTGTATGATGGCCTCTATTTTTTTTGTTTTGTTGTTGTTGTTTGTTTCTTCTCTAATTGTGCCTCTTACTTGTCCCTCTATTTGTTTGGCTATATTTGCCTGTGTTTTTTTGAGAGCTTTGTTCATTTCCTCTTTATTTGCCTCTACTTATGTGGCCAATTCTTTGAGAGATTTGTTCATTTCCTCTTTATTTGCTTCCATCTGTGTGGCTATTTCTCTGAGAGATTTGTTTGTTTCCTCTTTATTAACTGGATAAAGCATAGCTTTAAAGTCATTTTCCTGTGTTTCCGATGATTTGGAGTATCCATTGATTTGGGGGGTTGCTGGTGAAGCCATGATATCCTGATTTTTGTTGGATGTGTTCTTTCGCTGACCTCTGGCCATTTGCTTCTGTTTGTTCCTGGATTCTGCAGTTTAGACTGGCACTGTCTTTCTCTGCTGTCTGGAGAATTCTTCAAGAATATGAGAGAGGTCCAGTGGTTTCAGCGTGTGCATTGGTGTTTCAGCTGTACCTGTGGGAGGAAAGTCTGTGGGCACAGAAGGACAAATGCGAGCAAGCATGGAAGTGCACCTTGAGAGACAGGGTTCTAGAGAATGTAGAAGCCTTGAGTGTGTGGAAAGGGTGCTGCCTTGCAGGCACTGAAGAGGTTGCATGCGCTGAAGGTGTAGCAGGCGCTGGTAATAATTGCAGGCGCAATTTACTTATGCAAATTCCCTGAATACCTCAGTGGACTACGGGCTACTGGTATTCATCTCTGAATAAGCTCCAGGTGCTATTTGCCTGAACTCCACTGGTGGACCTGCAGAGCAGGGGCTTAGAATACCTGTTTCCCACAGTGGATGTGTGGGTGGGAGGGATCTGATATCTGGCTGCTAGCTTAGAAGGATCCTGGATCTTGGGCTCTGCAGGCACTTGAGGGCTCACTCACTCTCTAGCAGGTCACATCAGCAAGCCCTGGGGTACCCCCTGTTCTCTACTCACAGGTTTGGACCTGTTGAGTCAAATCCTGGAGGATGGACTAGCTCTGCCAGCTCAGTGGTGCTGCAACTGACAAACTAGGGAGTCCAGCTATAGCCGAGGACTGGGAGGCCGGGCCAGGTGCCTGCTGGGAAGTCCTGAGGAGCCACAAAAGTGGTCCACAGACCTAGGTGGCCCAGCGCCTGGTGTACCTGGGTGGTTTTGCAGGTCTGCTGGACTTTGGTGGATGTACAGCTGAATGTTCACCACTGAGGGATGGGCAGCCTGTATCGTCACTGGCTGGGAGGCCCTGCAGAGTCGGTATGGCCTCTTGCAGACCTGGAACCTGGGGGGATGGCATGGTAGATCTGGGACTCGGAAGGGTACAGCTGGCAGCCACCCCTGAAGGGCTGGGAGCCCTGCCTCTGCTGTCCCAGTCTCCAGGCAGTGAGTTCTGTGCTGAAAATCTCTGGTGCTGTGAGCTAGCTCCACTGAGGAGGGAGGCCCAAAAAAGGGAAGTGCAAGGGGTTCAAAAGTTCACTTCTCTCAGTCCCTAGAGAAGGCCGCAGGAGACCTGACTTTAAAGGTCTCAACTCATGTGATGTTCCCTCTTGTTCAACAATCCTCAATGTCAATTTTCTGCCTTATCTGCCCCTCCACTCACCAATTTCGGAGTTTCAGATCGCTGCCTTTCAGATACTATGTGTGCTGGTCACTGCCATCTTGGATCTCCATTAAATTTTTTTCTAAATGAATCTCTCAGGCCCGTTTTCATTTTCTGTGTCATGTTTTAATATTAAATTGCACTAATTGGTGTAGAAATGATTAATGGGATGAAGTCTGGATGACAAATGTGTTCTTTGCATGTCTCAGTGTCCAGTGAGCTGATTTATTAAATTAGGGCATTCTGAGATTTTAGTAGTATAATTGAAAGGACTTGCTTGCTGGTGATGATTGCATACTAGACTTCAGCTGTGTATTATGTTTATCACAAGATTTTGGTAAAAGTTTCTTGAAGAGTTTGCCTTAAATGTTTTTTTTTTTTCTTTAGCCTGAGTGATCACATCACATAGTTTCTAGAATAATCACTATACATGAACTTATGGAGATCAACGAACTTGTAAAAAGTCTATGTTGTGTAGTAATCACCGTTTTAATAATGTTTTTGAAGGAGGAAGATATTTTGGATCTTTTGGAACAATGTGAAATCGATGATGAAAAGTTGATGGGAAAAACAACCAGGATCCGAGGACCAAAGGTGAAATGTCACTACCTTCCACTGTGCCAAGTTACTAAGCGCGTTGAATATTGCCCTTGAGAGTTAGGATGCAATTTTATGGGAGCTTCAGGAATTCTGTGTCCCATAAAGGCAAAACCAATTGGATGGTGTTCCCTCACTCCTCCAAGCTTTGTTTCATTAGCTTCCTTCAGATTTTCCTCAAAGTGCTAATGATTCAGATTGGCTGGACTTAAGAGGACAACCCCTGTTCTAAGCTCAATGTTTCTGTTATAGTCCCAGATAAATAATTAACAAAGAAATGTGTAGCATCATAGATAAGCCAATTTGTGACTTTGGAAATACATTAATAGGGAGCCCTCCTGTCTGTCTGTCTGTCTAGTTTCCATATAATTCATGTCCACTTTGAATGTTGGGTATAATTCTGTTTTCCCTTTTCTTGCCCTCGTCTCCTCTTATTAGTTTCTCCATCTTACTAAACTCTTTTATTTTTATTTTCATTTAAGTATATGTACATGATTTTATGTGTATATATAAAATCCAGGAACCACAACTGAGAGAAAATATTTATTTTCTCAATATTTATCTGAGATTGTCCTAAGTCACTTAATATGGCAATCTCCAGTTGCATCTGTTTCCCTATAAATGACACAAATTTGGTTTATATTTTTTTAAAAAAATTTTTTTTTACTTTACATCCTGATTGCAGCCTCCCCTCTCCTTTCAGTCTCCCCCTAACATACTTCACCCCCATTCTCCCCTCTCCTCCCCTGACGGGAGGTAATCAGGGGGGACCTACCTACACATCAAATCGCAGTAGAGGTCAGACAAGGCAGCCCAGTTAGGGGGACAGGATCCAAAGGGAGGCATGAGAGTCAGAGAGGGCCCTTGCTCCAGTTGTCCGGCATCCACAGGAAGACCAAGCTGTGCATCTGCTATATCTGTGCAGGGGGCCTAGGACCAGTCCATGCATGCTCTTTGGTTGGTGGTTCAGTCTCTGTGAGTTAGCATGGGTTAGTTGACTCTGTAGGTCTTCTTGTAGAGTCCTTGACCACTCTGTCTCTCTCAATCATTCCCCCAACTCTCCCATGTGACTCCTGAGCTCTGTTTAATGTTTGGCTGTGGGTCTCTGCATCTGTTTCCAGCGGCTGCTGGATGAAACGTCTCAGAGGACAGTTATGCTAGGCTCCTGTTTACAAGCATAGCAGAGTAACATTAATTGTGTCAGGAGTTGGCTGTCTCCCATGGGATGGGTCTCAAATATAGGGCCAGTCTTTAGTTGGACATTCCCTCAATCTTTGTTCCATCTTTGTCCCTGCACATCTTGTTGGCAGGACAAGCTTTGGGTCAGAGGTTTTGTGGGTGGGTTGGTGTTTTCATTCCTCCACTGGAAGACCTGCCTGGCTATAGGAAATGGCCACTTTTCTTAATGGCTGAAAAGTTTTGTTGTGTATGTGAACCACATTTTCCCTGTCTGTTCCTGTGCTGTTGACATTTAGGTCAGCTCCATAGCATGTGGTAAACAGTGTGGAAATAAGCTCTGATATCAGGAATTTCCATGCTATGTTGTCTTTGGTGAGCTTTTCTTTTGCTGACACAGTGACACTGACAGCAGGGTCTTAAAAACAGCTGCATTTCTTAGGAGTGGGAAAGTTGTGAGACAAAGAGAGGCTGGTGTTTGAACTTCAGAACACCTCCCTTGTGGGATGTTGCTTCCGCAGTTTAATATATGACAAACTCTTTACCAGCAGGGAAGCAAGAAGTTGCATTTGAGAAATCATAGAGACACTTAGTAGTACGTACTTCATTTATACCTCAGCACTGCCAAGCCATCTCTCCATCCACAGACACTTATGATTTGTTAGGTTCTCACGCTCTAATACCTGGTTACTAAAACAACTTGTAAGATTGATTAGAGACTCCTTCCTAACCAGCACCGTGGCCCCTTTCTGTGAGTGCTCCCTTGCACCAGGTAGACTTAAGTCTCATCCCTCCTCTGCCTCCTTCCCAGGAGTAATGCTGCTTCAGAGCAGTTGTGATGAGGCATTATTTGTGCGAGGTTGTGAGTACCTTGAAGATGGGAAGTGGATTTTTTATTTTTCATTTGTAGCATCTAAGAGTGTCTAGTACATTACACATTCCCCGGATATGTTGGTCAAGTTTGTTGAATGTGTCCAACACGTTCTCATTGGCTAGTTGAAGGGTAGATAGGCAGATGTCAAAGCAAAGTTTATGTGGTAAGTATTGAATGGAGTGTAAATTAGCAGGGCTGACTAAAGACAGCTTTCTGGAGCAAATCCATTAAAACTGGATTTGCAAAATGAGCCCTGATCATCTGGATTAGGAGGGACATTCAAGGCAAAGCCTTGGAGCTGTGATGTGGTATCAGGTGTGAAGAGAGTGTGGAAGCCTGTGGGCATGTTTCAGGAGGAAGAAATGAAAATGATGAAAGGGGAACCTGGCAAGGGATACACATGTGAAGACCTTGGATTCCAGGCTTTATTCTGAAAGCTGAAAATTCCTGTGAAACAAATATGTTTAGATTATCTGAAAAACCAAATGCCCTTATGAATCATGGCTCCACCTGGGGAAATATTTGAGGAGCTTTTAAGCTTTTCCTATCTTATATCTTACACAGCCAGTTGTACCACTAGAGTTCCTAAGCTTTGTATAGCAATCATCATAGTTTGCCATAACCAACTTTAGACAACCTGGGGATACAACATTGATGGTAGAAAGACATGTGCGAAGTCCTGAGGCATCTTATATTTACCTTCATTTTTCTTACATAAGATTTGCTGTCTAAAGCAAAGCATAATTCTGAGGAAGAGCTCACATTGTGTGTTTTCCAACTTCTCTCCTTCTACGTAAACAGGAGGAATTAACAGTGCATTTGTTGAAATGAAATGAATCCAGCAACTACTTAATTGATAAAGTCAGCAGAGTTTCTAAGTAGCTCAGAGCAGCACAATTAATGTAAAAGTGTATTTATAATTTTTATGTAAGTTTTATTGGTGTCTAAACTTCTAAAGAGACCTTCCATTTCAGAGGAACAGTGATTCATGGTAAGCAGTGGTCACCAAGCTCTTCATTAGTTGAATAATTTGAAATGATTTTTGTTAAATCAACTTTGTAGAGGATAAATAGTAGCATCTCATGTATTTGAGAATTTAAGGAATATTAAATAGCCACACAAATAATTGCTACATAAAGCATTAGCCATGTTTTTAAGTTGGTACACATACATTTGTTTTATCTGTACATTTATGTATTTTTATATCTGCGCTGTTTCATAATAAAACTACAAATAGAATGATGTAGCATGATTTGTGTCATAGCTTCATGCTACTTTCAAAATCCCATCATATAGTTAGAGGGTTCATATTCCTGTGACTCCTGTTTACTTATTGCTTGAACACTTGTGTTGGTCTAAAAGTCCTAAATGCTTACATGAGACAACACTTCTTCTATGATTTCTCCATAAGGTTTATTAATTATGTAGCCAGAGTCTTTATGAACACTGAAAGCAGCGTGCTGCTTGAAGGAAGGCAACCTTGCAAGCCTGACTGTGCCTCTGTTTCCTTGTGGTATGCTAAACTTCCAAAGAGACATCTCTAGAGTTCATGCTCGCCAAGGTTGTCAACATGTTTGATGTCTGCGTTACTGGCAAATATTTTTGTGTGCATTTCTGTGTGAATATTTTTAGTACTTTGTAAATATTAGGCCATGAAAAGGAGAGCATACGCTTAAAGACAAGTTGCTACCCACTGTATTCAGTTCCTTTCCCACTTTGGTTGTATTTCATTCTTTGTACAAGCTGTAACTTTAACACCATTATGCTTCGGCTTGCTTTGTATTCCTCATGGTTTTTAAAATGCATCTCCCTTCCTTCTCTCATACTGTCACACCGGAGGAACATAGTTTCTTTCCATAAACTCCCATGGCATCCAAGAAATTCAATATGGTACACAATAACATCAAAGCCACTGGTATGCAACTGCAGAAGCCTGTCTCAGCAGGAACAGGAGGTATATTGAGCACAGAACAAGCAGGCTTAAAATAACTGCTACAAAACTCTCCACTCTGTGCACTCTTTCTAAAGTCAGTCCATTCCAGCTCTCTTCCTGTCCCTTCACCTGGTGTCTTTAGACCCATCTTTCATAAGGAGTGGAAGTAGGTTGATTCTGTTAGAAATATTAGGACACAATACCAGCTTAATCAGACCTACACAAAGTCACTCTTCTGAATCTATCCCTCTTCTAAAAAAGTTTCACACCATAGTAATTTTTGTATGTCATATTGTAGGATGTCACACTGATGATAAAAAGCAGTGATCGCGCATTGCGGCCAGACTGCATTAAAGTTAGAGACTCTCCACAGGGGTCACACACAAGTCATCAAATTTAGAAAGAGAATAATTAAGTAAAATATATAGAAGAGCTTGATGAGACTAGGCCTGGGTTCAGTTCCAAGTAAAATAAAGAAACGAGTAAATAAATATCAACACTGAGCATTGTCTGGGTAGGTAGGTTCTTGAGCTCTGTCTTAATGCATTATCTATCTTCTAATGGATTCTCTTGTTTTTGCTTTCTTAGACCCCTTGTCCTTCTTGCCTTGCTTTCTCTCTCCCCACCCCAAGTCACCTTTTATTGGGTGAGTCTTGATGCCTAATCTTTTTGAGTAGAGTGACCAAAAGCTGATTGTGTTTATGCTATTTATGTGTTTTTCAGATTGTTTCCTCTTGACTCACAGAAACTATCATTTATTGCAGTCACGTAGAAACAGCATCGTCCTTATCAGGGCTGAGCATGGGATTCCCAGCAAGCTTCACAGCCAGCATGTGCTCTACTGGCTGAAAAGCAGCAAGGAGTAGAGACAGATTTCTACACTCACTAATAAGCAGTGAGCATGGGGGTACGCTAACCAAACAACGTGTCCCTCTGTTTCAGCCCCTGTGCTGCATGCCAGAATGTGCGGAGGTAACGAAGAAGAAGAAGCAGCATTTCTGTAGCAGTGAGAGCAGCTATGACAGCAGCAGCAGCTACAGCAGCAATTCAGAGCTGGACGAAGTTGAGAGAGAACTGGGCCAGAAGAGACGAGAACGAGGCCCTTACAAGCCTAAGTACTCCAGTCACTGCAAGATAATTCAGCAATCCTGTAAGTCAATCTCTCCTAAGTTGATTCCTGAACAACTATAGAGTCAAATCTCTTGAACTCAATAAAAAGTCCTTGGACCAAAAGATGCATTGTCATGTGTGAGGAGACCTGTGTTCTATCCCCTATCTTTTCCTAGCCAGAGCTGGCTCCATCCCTCAATCTCTCTCAACTTCTGCAGGTAGGAAGCAGATTGAATTGAGTATCCTTCCTCTGTCTTCCATAGTTTGTTTGCTTAGTTGTGGCATTGGTTTTACAGATGTTCCATAAAGCTTTTAGGTAAAGTATGTTCTCTTTTAAGCCCACATCATCTCTGATTCAGTGTCTGCCTATCACCTCCTTTGTTTGGTACTATTTTAAACATCTCAGGCATTTGACTTGACATGTCTGTGAGCCACAGAACTGGCAAGTAGTTGAAAGTTTGCTCCCTCTCACTTTCATCCTGGGCAAGTGTTTAATCAGGACTTTGGGTACATCACAGGTACTTAGGAAAGCAACCAACTTTTCTTCCACGTCTTTCCTATCAATTGTCTTCACCGTCCCTCTCTCTCTCTCTTTTCCTGTCTTTTCTTCCTTCACATGCAAATGTCCATGATCCAGCCTCTGATTTGCCATTTTCCCTCAAATATCCAACCTAATATCTCCATTTTCCTAGACTTTCTTGCTTGAAAACATCTTGTTGCTGCTGCCTCTGAACTAGGACTGTCTTAACACTGAGGCCACACAATGTCTCAAGGTCCCACCAAAGCAACCAGCTCAGCAGTGTGGTAAACACAGCTGGAGCATGTGCAGAGCAGATCTCCAGGAATTCTTAATATATTCAGGTCCTGATAAGGTGTTCTAAAACTGGCCTTTGAGCCTTGAAATAAAGTACCAACGAATGAAGAACTAATAAATAAAGAATTCAGAGTAACTTTTTTTCCCCCAAACACCCCATAAAGATTCATGCCCCCACTGCTCTTATGTCTCTGGATAAACAGACTTGGCTTTTCTTTTGGAAACTGGCATTTTTATGTTCCAGTTTTATTGGATTTTAGATTCCTTGCCTGTCAGCTAACGTGACTATTATTTAGTATGAACTTATGATGGTTACGGGTCACAGAGAGAAAATATCTTTAGAGTATTACAGTTTTGAGATTGTTCTATGCTCTGTGACCAACAGGTTAAAGAACTAAAATAAGATAGTAACATAGTAAAGTAGAATGAAGAAATAAAACATGCCTTTATGTAGGAATTTTTATTTTAAGGCAACCTAATTCAATGTTTATTTTTTTATTGTACTTTTAGGTGGATATTATAACAAGGTTTTTGCTTTGTTTTGCTTCTCTCTTTCATCTTGTGTCACGGGTCCCATAGGCACAAATCCACTATCAATTGATGGCCAAGGGCAAAATCCAGATCATAAGTAACACTTTCTTGTGTAGACGCTGGACTTGGGGTATTGTTAAAGCCTTAGAAAATAACATAAAAGGCGTTTTCTCACATAATTTATAGCCGGAAGTCCCGGCCATGTTTCTAATCTAACCAGCACCACTGGTGAATGTAACTACTTTCGTTTTCTTGTCTAAATTTCCAGGTCTATGGGAGGAAAGTGAGAAACTGAGATGATCTGAGACAATGATAGTTTCCTTCTAAACTCATGAGCAGGTTCTACTTGCTTAGTCCTTACTCTAGGCTTGTGAAAAGGCAGACCCACAGTGTAGCTTGGATCAAACAGTGTAGAATTCTTTTTTTTTTTAATATGACCTTTGTATTATTGTTGTATGCCAAACATGAGACCATTGTAACTAATATTTTTTAAATGTAGACTGACCGGTGATGTGTTCCTGTACAGTGTGCTGGGTGTCACAGGTACAGAACAAGGTTAATACTTCCAACAAATAGAGGTGTTTTTTGTTTTGTTATTTTTAAACAGCATCTTATAAAGCTTGAATAAGTGTATATTTGTATACTCTCCAGAGCATAAAGAAACAATGCTACTTTTACCACATGCTCACGGTATCTTTCAGATGTACACCCCTAAATCTACCTCTCATATCCATCATTTTATAAAGCTTTCAGTTCTTTTCAACAGCCAATGAAGAGAGATATTTGTGTATGCAACCTGGCTTCATGTGAATTTTGCTAAATTATTTAATTAATGAAAATTGTTGTATTCTCCAAGCAGTGAACAAACCCAGGATAGAGGATCTTCAGGGCAAATGAGCTGAAGAAAAAACTAAATGTTGATGGTGTTGAGCAATTCTTTTTTTCAGGTCAGGAGCCACAGCTTACCAGGGACACTGCTTCTCTTTTGTCAAGGTTCCCAGAATACACAAGGGTGGATATTTGATGGTTTCCTTAGATATTTATTCTGATAACAGTCCTAGGCTTTGACTTTACTTTTTCTTCACTTAAATCTTTTGTTATTGAAATTTCTTGTGTGTGTGTGTGTGTTAGACCACCAGCTCTTTGAATAGCCAATTATATTTAAATTAGATTAGGATAATCTTTATAGTATTCTTCTGTTCTATGACTCCCACCAGAGGCCCTGAATTCTATCCCTTACGTGTTTACTCTGGCCACTATCTGTTCTTTCCTTCCCTCCTGTGATCCTTGCTGTAAAATGGTTAATCTCTACCTTCATAGAGACTCTGATAGCCTGTATAATCCAAGGTTAGTAGATAGCATTATAGAAAAGTGACATCAGAGAAAAGTGAAGACTTTCAGCATTCAATGGTGAGGACTTTAGGTGGTAGAAGTCTCTTTTTCTGATACTCTTTTTTTTTTTTTTAAAAAAATGATTATTAGTTTTCTCCATTGATTTGTTTAACCATTTTACAACCTAATCCTAGCACCTTCCCTCCTCTTATCCCCGTCCTACCCAACCCCTTCTCCCATTTGTGCCTCTCCTTTTTCCCAGAGAAGGGGAGACCCCCAATTGGTACCAATCTAGCCTGGTATCTCAAGTCATGGTAGGACTAAGCACATCCTCTCCCTCTGGGGAGTGACAAGGCAGCTAGGGGTGATAACCCAGCAGTGGGTGACAGATTCAGAGACAGGACTGATTCCTATTGTTAGGGGACCCACATGATGACCAAGATGCACATTTTCTACATGTGTAGGGGGTCTAGGTTCAGTCCATGCAAGCTCTTTGGTTGGCGGTTGAGTCTCTGAGCCTCCAGGACCCCAGGTTAGATTAATTTGTAGGTCTTCTTGTGGTGTCCTTGACCTCTGTCCTGCTCCCTCTATCCTTTCTCCCACTCTTCCAAAGCCCTCCCCGAGCTCAGCCCATTGCTTGGCCTTGGGCCTCTGCATCTGCCTCCATCAGCTGCTGGATGAAGCCTCTCAGAAGACAGTTATGCTAGACTCCTGTTTGCAAGCATAGCAGAGTATCATTGATAGTGACAGTGGTCTGCCTTCCCTTGTAAGGTGGGTTTCATACTGGGCCAATCACTGGTTTGCCATTCTCTCAGTCTCTGTTCCATCTGAATCCCTACACTTCTTGTAGACAAGACACATTTTGGGTTGAAGATTTTGTGTGTGGATTGGTGTTCTCTCCCCTCCACTGGGAGTCCCACCTGGCTATAGGAGGTGCCAACTTTGTGCTCCTTAGCATCCATTGCTTGGAGTCTCTGCTAGGGTCACCCCCATAGACTCCCAGGAGTCTCCCCTCTCCCAGAGTTTCCTATCACTGATTTCTATTCTTTCTTCTAGTTATTCTCTTCAGTCCCTCCTCCTCTCTTTGCTCACCTGATCTGCTCCTCGCATTACCCTCCCCACCCTACCTCTCTCTCAGTTCCCTCAGCCATCTATTGTATTTCCTGTTCTGAGTGAGATTCAAACATCTTTCCTTGGGCTCTCCTTGGCTTCTTTGGTTCTATGGATTATAGTACGGTTAGCCTGTACTATATGGATAATGTCCACTTACAAGTGAGTACAAACCAAGTGTGTCTTTTGGGTCTGGGTTACCTCACTCAGAATGATCTTTTCTAGTTCCATCCATTTGCTTGCAAATTTCATGATTTCTTTAACTGCTGAGTAGATTCCATTGTGTAAATGTACCACATTTTCTTTATCTATTTGTCGGTTGATACACATCTAGGTTGTTACCAGATTCTGGCTATTAGGAATAAAGCTGCAATGAACATAATAGTTGAGCAAGTGTCCTTGCGATATGGTGGAACATCTTTGGGGTATATGCCCAGGAGTGGCATAGCAGGGTCTTGAGGTAGATCTATTTCCAGTTTTCTGAGAAACCTCCAGTAGTTTTACATATGTGCACCCCCACCAGCAATGGAAGAGTGGTCCCCTAGCTCCGCAGCCTCTCCAGCAAGCGTTGTCATTTGAGTTTTTTATATTAGCCATTCTGATGGGTTTAAGATGGAATCTCAGAATGTTTTGATTTATATTTCCTTGATGAATAAGGATGTTGATCATTTCTTTAAGCGCTTCTTGGCCATTTGAGATGCCTCTGTTGAGAATACCCTGTTTAGCTCTCTACCTCATTTTTAATTGGGTTATTTGGTTTGTTGGTGTCTAATTTATTGAACTCTTTATTTATTTTGAGTATTAGCCTGGCTCACAAGTGCCTCCTGAGTGTTCATCTCTTTGCTTCTGTCTTTCTAACAGCACACTTTGAGAACTTAGTTTGGAAGTCCTGTTTACAGTATCTCCCCAGCACAACTGTTCCTCATGGAGCGGAATTGTTCTGCACCAAGTACACTGTTCAAATTTACACACTGATTCCAAGCTTCTCTTTTTGTAATGGTGTGTAGAGGTTGATATTTCTCCCGAAGCAAGCACCTAGTCTAATTGTTAGTCTGTGGAACCCTGCTAAGAGAACAGCTTACTAACAGCACCCCTTCTCCATCATCGATAGATTCCATGAGGCGTTCGGTCAGCTGCCCTCGGTCCATCTCTGCTCACTTAGCTTGCAGTGGGGATGCGCGCCCCTACTCTTCTCAACAAATGATTCCATTAGTACGACCAACTTCAGCAACTCGGTCACGTTCCTTAAACCGCGCTTCCTCCTACATGAGGCACCTGCCCAACACTAATGATGCCGGCTCTCCCAAATCCCTCTTGGTAAGCTATAGAACAATCTCCAGGTTGCAGGAAATGCTGTCCTTAGAATGTAGGTGGTGAAGGGGTCAGCTGAGAGGGTGGCAAGGGGAAGCCCTGATTCCCTCCTGTGATTCAGTTATGACCTTCCCAAGTTGCTTTGTTCATGTGTCCCGGACTCCAGTTTAGTATGGACCCCTAAAGGGCGAGCTTCCCCATATCACAGAACTGAATGTTCAGCAGATGGAAGCATGGCCTTGTGCTTTATTTCCTGACGCAGGAGGGTAACATGGTTGGTAATCGCATGGCTTTTTGCAATATCTTAATGGAGTGTATAGACACAAGCACATTTAGTGTATGGAAAATATCTCTTCAGACCCTAGATTAATAGTTTAAAAACCGATAAATTCTACCTATTGAGCCTAGATACAATGCTGTTTAGAATGCTTTCTGCATATTAAATTAGCATGTAGCATCCCCTGTTTAGCATAAAGCAGAGAACTTTGAGAAAGTCAGTGGTTTTATTTTATTTTTCTGGAGCTAGACCAGAGAGTTATTTAAAGTCTCTGTTTCATAAACACTGATGTTTCCAATGGGGAAAACCATGAAATATTAAGTGAATTAATTCACTTCATAATGGTGACTGGTTTTATTTTCCAAATCAAGAATCTGTAAAAAATGAAAATGGTTACTAAGTCCTTTTAAAATACTCATTTTTAATGTTTATATATTGAGCAAGATAAAATACAACCAAGAGGAAATACAAAAGATGCCCTTGTAAATAATAACCAATTTAATGGTTAAAAATTTGTGAACTTGTTTAAAAATTAAAAGTGAATCATTTTTTTACCTAGAAATGTATTTCAAATTATATTGGCAATTCAATAAGACTTCCCTCCATATATCTGTATTCTTTTAAATTTAAGAATGAGCCTTTTCGGCAACTGAAAACGAAAGAACAGGAAGATGACTTCACAAGCCAGACCTTGTTTGTTCTCAAGGACATGAGGATCCGCTTCCCGGGAAAGTCAGATGCAGAGTCAGAACTCATGATAGAAGAAGTGAGTATGTGATGTAAGAAAATCCGAGGAACATCTCTTCACTCTTCTTAGAGTCTGAAAATGTGTTCCTGGCACTGGGGAGATGGCTCCACCGCTACAGCCCTTGCTGGGCAAGCATGAGGACTTGAGTTTGAGTCCCGGCACTCACAGAGAGAGCTGGTGGGATGGCATGTGCCTGTAATCTCAGCAATGGGGAGGCAGAGAAAGAGGAATCCTGGGGTTTCGTGGCAGCTCCCCCAGGGTCCCTGGTGAGAGGTTGCATCTCAGAAACTCACGGTCGAGGAAAGACATCAGAGATTGACCTCTGACCTACACAGGCGTTCGAGCACACACACCCACACCCCAGCATTCACGTGCGCTGTACATCTATGGACAAGTACACATACCTCCTGTACATCTACACGAAAATGTATTTTCTGGTCGAATTTACTTAACTGCATAGGAAATGTAACTGATGTTACTTTTATCCCCCAGAAACTTTATAAAATAGAAGAAATACTTTTACTTATTAGGAATATTTTATCATATAATAAGGCTGTCAAGTGAGAACAATTAGCATCAAAAAATAACTGTTCTTCATGATCAAATAAATGTCAGGATAAGCTCTTCAGTATAAACGCCTGCTAAGCTGAAGAGCTCTAAGATGAAAAGAGACATGATGAAAATAGTGGCCTGGTAGAAAAGGTCAGGAGGACTTGGAGGCGATGCCTGGCTGAGTTAATGTCACATGCGCCACCCAGTGGAGACTTCGGAGACGGCAGCGGTTCGGATGCTCCGCAGTCAGGGCCGGCTTCTAGCGTAGAAAGAAGTCTAAGATTATTGAAACGTTTTGGTGAGCGCACCTCTCTTCTCCCAAGGCTTCTCTTCTGCATCCAACACGCTTCCCCAAACGCCAGTGCTTAGATCATTCATCAGCCACAGAAGATTGTTTGGGGGTGGGTGGGGTAGAGCCGGTGTGATTTTGTTTTTCCCCAGAAGGCAAGGCACCATCTACTGGTCGTACGTAGAGTAAAAACCACAGCTTTCATTAGCTCGCATACAAGAAAAAGGTTTTCTGCAGCGAAAACCCATAGCGGCATCATATTTTTGTTATTAGATAATTAGAGTAAAGTATCCAAGCGTTTTGCGTTTTGTGGCGATATAAGTTTTCAAAACTGGGAGTCGTGAGCTGTTTGTGAGTGAGCTACTGGTTGTTACAGAAAAAGGAAATTTAGATCGAGTGTAAGACATTATGATAAACATGTTTAAAAATTTTATTTGCATTTTTAAAAAACAGTGTGTGTATGTGTGTAGGCACACACATGCCGAAGCGTCCATGTAGAGGCCACGGTGCAGCTCGAGGGAGGCAGTTTTCTCCTACGAGCGTGTGTGTCCCAGGGACCGAACAAAGGTCATTTTACTTGGCAGCAAGCCCCTGCCCACATCACCGGCCACATCACCAGCCTGGAAGTGTTTTTGCTTATTTTGATGTTGTTTATTTCCAAGAAAAGCCAGTAACTTTGCAGCAGACACCTCATCTTCTGTCTTTTATGATCTGCCGTTTTGTTTTCAAATTTATTTTATTTGTATGAGTTTTTTTTTTTTTTTTTTTTTTTTTTTTTTTTTTTTTTTTTTTTTTTTGCCTGCGTGTTATGTGTGTGCACGTCATGTGTACCCATTGCTCAGAGGTCAAGGAAGGCATCAGAACTCTTAAAACAGGGTTTACAGACAGTTATGTGTTGTCAGCTGGGTGCTGGGAATTGAACCCGGGTCCTCCACAAGAGGTTTTTAACCGCTGAGCCATTACTGTAGCCCCACTAAGCTCCGCTATTTTTTTTTTTTATTGGAAAATGAGAGAGTGAAGCTAACATATGTGGCTAATGTGATTCTTCTATAAAGATGATTGTTAGGCTTATACAATTAATGAAACGTATTTAGTAATCAATGTCAGACATTAGATCCTTTACTGTATGTCTGCCATGTTCCAGACTTGAATATTTGCTACAGTACACATTACCAGGACATATACAGAGAAATTCTGTAGATATAGAGGTAATACAAAGGAAGGGCTAGTAGAACTCTCATTGGATATGGGCTGACTTTTAATGTATTATTCAATATTCTATTATTATGTGGGTAACACAGCCCTGTGAATAAAGATAGAAAATCTATGGATTGGATTTCTGCCTGAAATGTATGTGTCCAGGGATTTCTGACTTTAATTCACTGAGTGATATTATTCTTACTGAAGAGGAAGAAAAAGCGCTCGGATTTAGGACCTCTGGCTTGCCTACGTCTTTGCAGGTAGCTTTTTAGGAATGGTGGGATTTTTAGTATAAGTAGATTCATAGCACGTTTACTGCACAAATGAATATGATCTGTGCTAACTAGTTCGTTTACTACTTTTAGTGAGCGTTCTAGATTAAATTTGTTAACATCTCTCCCCCAACAGATCATGGATAACTGGAAGCATTATAAAACAAAAGTGGCTTCATATTGGCTCATAAAATTGGACTCTGTAAAACAACGAAAAGTGAGTAACACTTCAGAATCTCTTTGCCCTTTATGAGAGTATTAAGTAAAATGTTCAGTCAAATTTATTACAAGTTTATGTGTGAACATTGATTCGCTCATATCTTCAACAAATATTGCACACCTATTATGTGTTAGACAAGGTTTTAAGTAGTAAGGATTTAAAAAAGAAGTTCAATTGAGGATGGAGCAGTAAGAGGTGAGTTTGATGGTGAGTCAGAGCGCAGATGGCGACTTGATGGGGTATGACAAGATGGGGTTTTTGTTCAGTGCATGAGATGCCATGGGCAGGTCTGAGAGGACTTGTAGTCCGATTCGTAATTTTAAAGGGCCGAGAACCACCCGAGAGGGAGTAAAGCTGAGGCAGAGAGAACGTGGCACAATTAGAGTAGAAATCTTCTAGGGTCACTGAGGCAAGAACCAGGGAGTCGTCTGCTTGGGCGGTGACGGGATGGGTGGGTTCTGTAGGTCTGTTGTGTGGTTTTAAAAAATTTATTGTAGGGGCTGGAGAGCTGGCTCAGTGGTTGCACTCTGGCTGCTCTTACAGAGGACCCAGGTTCTATTCCAAGCACCCACACAGAGGCTCACAGCCTCCAGTTCCAGGGGATATAATACTCTGTGGACTCCAAGGGCTCTGCGTGCACACAGTACACAGACATACATACAGGTAAAACACCCATACACATAATGTACTCAAACATTGAAAAATTAATTTCTTTCACTCTGTGTGTACTTGTGCATGTGCCTGGGTGTATTTGTGTATACCGCATGTGTTCAGGGCCTTAAGGATGTCAGAAGAGGTGTCTCAGCCCCCCAAACTGAGGTTACAGACACTTGCGAACCTCCATGTGGGTGCTTGGAGCTTAACCCAGGTCCTCTTCATGAGCCAGTGCTCTGAGCCGCTGAGCCATCTCTCCAGCCCCTGCTTTGTTGTGCTTTGAACTTGGACGTGTGTTGCTGGTGTCCTGACTAGCTATCCAAGGGCTGATGTTGAGTGTGTTGATGAACGTATGAGGGTGAAAGCAGAGCTGAGGTGTGGACTCTACAAGGTGTCTAAAGGAAGGGGGCTGGATGGAACTACATGGAGAGTTTGTAAGAGAGGACTGGGTTTTCTGGGACTGAGCCCAGGGGCTCCTGGAGGAATTGGAGAGGTGAGAGGATTCTTTGAAGAGGACTGAAAAGAAACAAGTGGCCCAGTGTTGAGAACTGTAAGAGCTGGGTGTCCCAGAAGCCAAGTAAAGTTGTCTTAGTAACAGAGTAAGATGCTGTGCTGGAAGTTGCTGCTAGGGGCTGAGCGTCAGGCCGTTTGTTGTTTGGGCAAACATGAAGGTTAGTGGTAAGCACAAATTTCTAGGTGTGGTAGGAAGCAAAACTTAACTGGAGGGAATTCAGTTAGTGAATATCGAAAAGGAAAAGCCATAGTTGGTGCAGATAGTTTTTCAGGGTGTGGACTATTGAGTTTTTTCCCTTCTGCCTTAAAGATGAAGACTTTTTTCATTTGTGCATTGATGACAGCGGCCTGAGAGCAGGACTGGCACAGAAGGGCAAGACTAAGTTCTTGAGTAAACTGAGGTCTGCTCCAGCCAAGAGCAGTTCTTATAATCAGAGGGAAGACGAAGGGTCCCAGAGTGTAACATAAAAAGCGAGCACTGAGGAGACAATAAAAGGCATGTAACAGCTGCTGAGAAGAGTGGGCAGGAATGGCCAGCACTGTATGTGGCCTCTCTAATGGACTGGGCTGTTTTCCAGGAGATAGTACTACCTCAGTAGCGCTAGCGAAGTTCCCGCCTTCCTCCAGGAAGATGAACTGACATTTGGCCATTCTATGACTTCCTGATAGATTAGCTGAAGTTTGACATTAATGAGGTTACAACTTTTACCTGAAGAAACTGATGTGAACATTGTCCACCAGCTCACTCAGCAAATTTTACACATTGTCCTGCCATGGGCAGAGGCTGTGTCTCCATTGAGGAGGGTGTGTCAGAGATGGCAACAGAGGTAGACTGTTACCCAAGTTCTGAGCCCTGAATGCAAAATTGCTCAGCCGCTGAGTCTGGCCTTCTTCGTCATAATGGACCATAAGCCAGAAAAATTTTCTTCTTCTGTGGGTGTCTTTTGTTATTTTCTTCTTCTGTGGGTGTCTTTTCGTCATGTTATTTTGTCACAACAACAAAAGGTAACTAATACAATGATGTTGAAACATTTGGTTATTTTCCAAGAAAATGACGGGAGCTTATTTCTTATCATACTCAAAATAAATTCCATGTAGGTTACAGTTTGGTTTATAACAAAGGAAAATATTAAGACAAAGAAAATGCAGAAAGATAATTATAATTGTAGAGTGGGGAAACTGTCTTAAAAAAGACCCGACCATAAGGGCTTCAAGGAGAAGCTTGAAAGATTGTTATATATAACTATATATAACCATATATATATATATATATATATATATAACTATATAACTATATATAACTATAACTATATAACTATAACTATAAATATATATATATAACTATGAAGTCTGGTGTGGCGGCTCTTCCCTATAATCCCAGCATTCAGGAAGCTGAGGCAGGAAGACTGTGGGAGTTCCAGCCTAATCCGGGCAACAATCTGAAACCGCATCTTAAAGCATCAAAAACCAAAACCAAAGAAAACCTTACAAATGGCAAAAAGACATATTAAAGCAAGTTAAAGGCAGAAAGCAGGAGAGGTTGAGCAGGCGGTGGGGGTGGGGGTGGTTGAAGAGGCAGGGTGGAGTGGGGTTTGAGGAAGATATTTAGTGCCCATAAAATGAAGAGTAACAGCAGTAAACCAATCCTTCTTACCAGTCAATCAGCAAAAGACAAACTGGTGTACAAACACTAATAAGTAACATGGCAAAGTGTATAAAAAAGGCTGTATTTAATGGATTTAATGGATCTTCAAACAGCCAATTAGCATGTAAATAGATCCTTGGTCTCACTAATGATGAAGTAATAACAACTGAAAACTATCATATTGCAAAAATTAATAAGATGGATAATTCCCACCAGTGGGACTAGCGTGGCTAAGAGGGCCTTTGCTCTGCTGTCAGACAGAGTACATTGCTCTAACTCTTCAGAAATGTCGTTCCTGGTACCTTCTAAATTATGGATGTTCATAGCCTTGTGACTCAGCAAAACCATCTCTTGCCTTGTGTCCTGCAGATTTTCATCTCTAGTAATAGGAAAGATTTCCATATGTCAATGTTTATAACAGTGCTGTTCATGAAAGTCAACCACGAGAAGCAGCTTGACTGGTTCACAGTGGGTTTATGGTTAAAAAGACCTGGTACATCCATGCATTGTGTTGCATTTGATTGACGATTATTCTAGAGTAGTCAATTAATTCAGAATAGAGTATTGTAGAATCATGTCAGAGTAGAATATAGAATTCAAGCCTGTGACGCAGACCTAGGAAACATGTTAGTAAAATAACACAGACACTCCTCGTCAAGGGCGAAGAACAGCAAGGAGCAGACTCAGTGCAGCCTCCCTGGGAGGTGGCTATCCTCTGCTCTCTGTTCCTTCTTTTGATATACCTGGAGACATTCTGGGCTTAGTGTGACTGGTGGACCCAACAAGTACCACAGCCCTAGGAGTAGACCCCAGGGCTAACCACTCCAAGTCCTTAGAGGTCAGGGATACATGGGCCTAAGCTCTTACCTCTAAAGTTTTGCCTCTTGGCTCTAACAAGCTGTAGATTGGCACTCGGCAGCATTTACCATCCTCAGCTTTGAGCAGTGACGGCTGTCTGGGCCTAGCACCCCAGGTCGAGATGGGTCCCTCTAATCTGTCTCAAAGTGAGTGAGTCTCACTTGTAGTCACCTGCTGGTTTGCTCCACACCCTTGCCAAACCATGTCAATTCTAGAATGCCTGATAAACACGGGGTGAGCATATGATGTGCTTGAAAAGAATACAGTCTGTGGATAGAAAGGGTTATTCCCTATGTTTAAGGGTCATGCTTACTGGGATTCGAATTTTAAAAATAAATATAAGCAACTGGTTATGAATTTACTAGCGCATGCGTATACCATGATGTCAGCTTCCTCATGCCAACTTACTGTAAGAACACTTGTGCGTTCTTCGGTTAAGAGTTGCTCAGAGGCTATTCCAAGGCAGTAAGGAGGTGGTACCAATGTGAGTTCCAGGATCTTTATTTTCAGCTTGTACATCTTTTACTCTCATTTGAGTTCTCCTTTTGCTTCTTCCTTTGGTCAAATACCATCCTATGTGCTTTAAGACATAATAAGATAAATATGATACCCATTCCTGACAAAAGCCTACTAATAATGTCTAACAGTTTATGGCTACCTCAACAGTTATGATCAGTCTCCTACATGGCTAATTTAATGGACAATTCTATTTTGGTATAAAGAATTTATGTCTTGGATTTTGGAACTCAAAGAATAAAAAGGGCTTATCTTAATTGGAGAAAATTTGATTTTGCCAAGAGGCCCCTGAACGTGGTTGGGAAGTGTGAGTCGGAGGCTGTGAGCAGAAGAGCGATCCAGGAATCCCACACCTGCAGCTCATTTGTAGCAATTTTTCTTGCTGTGGCCATGGTTACAGAAACTCCCTTTTCCTTGTTCACCTGTCCTGTTCTTGCTTTTTCAGAATAGTGAGGGGTGAGGCCCCTGGGGAAGAGCAACAGATGAGGTCTCCTGTCAGCTGCCATTTTGTGATGACATTGTCCTCCTGTAGGTCCACTTTCAGCTCTCACCCATGAGTCTTCGTTTGACTCTAAGTTTTAAGTCATGTAGAACGTTCCACCTTTGTAAAAGTAACTGTGATAAATTGATAGCTTTTTCACCCACATCTATGAAAAGACAAACATAGCCCATGAACACACTTCCTCCGACCAGCCTACAAGGAATGTACTAAGTTTTTCGGGTTTTGTTTGCTTGTTTGTTTGTTTTTGTAAACAGAGATTTATTGTTTTAATTAAATTTTAGACTTTTTTTCTGCTTAATCCAGAGCATG